ATTTGTAATTACCTAAACATTAGAGGTTTTTTCGTAATATGATATTATCTCTGGGGTGCCCGTAATTTACCCTTTTTTTATATAAATATAATTCAGACCCCATTCTCTTTCTTCTTCTTTTTTTCACCCTAGTTTGGAAGAGGTAAAAATCAGAAAATAAAAAATAGTAGTGTTAAGGAGCAAAAAGGTGTAGGGAAAATTACCATATGTACTTTGGTTTCCAGGAGATTTCTGTCCCTTTACTTCTTTTTAGGAAGTTGTAGGGAATTTTATCATTTTATGTGTGATTTTTTTGGGGAGTTTTTTTTTTATTCCTTTCATTCTTTTTTATTTAATTTTAAAATGAGATGCGATAAATGTTGTCCGAGCTTTAATAATACTGTTTCAACTTCAAACATGATTTTGATCATTTTTAATTCAAAATTTTGCAAAACCCGAAAAATAAATTTTGTAGTATTTTGATCATAAATATATAGTATCATATATATGATATTTTAATTGGAAGGGAAAAATTTATAAAAAGAAAGGTGAAAGAAAATAATATTTGTAGATTTTAACTAAATTGCGTCAATTTATGGGATGATGTAGAGACATAATTATAAAACTTAGGACAAATTTCACTTTTCCCTTGTACTTTGGCTCGACATCACTTTACCCCCTTCTAATCTCGATTGCATCGATTTGCCCCCATGCACTTGAAAAATTGTCTCAATGTGGCCATCGTTGTAGTTGTCAAACATTTCACCTTAACAGCGTTTGGTCTAAGCTTTAAAATTACAAAAACGCCAACTCTCCCAGTATAAATAATTATTAAAAAAAACAAAAAGAAAATTAAAAAAATCAAGACAACGAGAAAGTATAGTCCACGACGACAGCCACAATTTATTTTTAATTATTTAAAGGGTGAATTTTTTTGTAATTTTCAGACTAAGACCACTCAAATGTCTGAAAACTAACGGCGAGGGCCACATTGACAAAAAATCAAGTGCAGGGGAGCAAATCGATGCAATCGAGAATAGAAGGGGGCAAAGTAATACCGACCCAAAGTACAAGAGGAGAAAGTGGAATTTACCTAAAACTTATAACTCGAGCTCAGTGAATGGGCTTTTGGCTAAGCTTATAAACAGTTAAAGAGAGCTTATAGAATGTTTAGGAGCTCATAAGCTCTTCGAAAGTATTTGGTAATCTTTATAAAAAGATTTTAAAAATTCTGAAAATAAGTTGATAGAGAACAAATAAGATTTTTTTTTTTAAATTATATATATACTTCATATTTTTATTTAAGATCTTATAACAGTAAAAATAGTTTATAACTTCATTATACAAGTATTTTAAAAACTAGTTCTAAAGATAAAAATATAACAACTTAACAACTATTAAAACAATTTACCAGTTAAAATTATTCAGCTATTAAAATTAAACTTAGGCAAACAGGTCCTAGATAGATCGAGCTCAACTTGACACAACCATGATAACACTCTTAATTGCTATTAGTGTCTTTTATGAGTAAACATATATATAATCTTTATGTAATAATTCCTATAAAATTAAAATAAAATAAAATAAAATAATTAATTAGATGTTGCACTTATCATTAAAAATATAAATGGAAGTGATAATTAAGTAATATATATATATATATATATATATATATCTTTGATTTTGTTTCGGAAAATAAGATTAATCAAGATAAAAATACAAACTTATGACAACTCCGATTGTACTAGATCATGTTTAATTCACGATTCCCCAACAAATCGACCCAAACAATTACTAATAGACTAGTTAAGCATCAAATACAAAAGCCAGTTATTTGATTAATTTTTATTTCTCTTACATTCTTACAAACTAAAACGATAACTTATGTATGTATACTCATTAAGCATCAATTGCCTTTTTGTAAGGGTTGATGACTGCTTATACCTTGTTTGGTTAGGAAGATAAAATTAACCAAGATAAAATTAAATAATCTAATGAAACTCAATTGTATTTTGGAAGATTCAATAAAAAACATGCCTAAAAATCAAAATGTGGCATAACAACATAATATTTGCGGGTCGACCTGACAAGTTATTGGGATATCAAACATCAAATAAAGTTCAATTATTTAGTTAATCATGACTAATCTCCCCAACTAAACGAGGTCTATAGGCTGTAAGGAAATCTAAGTTTAAATTTATGGGGTCTTGATAAATTGAACTCTCGTGCACTGAAGGGCCATTTCTAAAGTGCTGATTTTGTGTATGGGAGTGTAAAAGAATGCACAACCGGCTTCCATCTTTTATGTGAAAATTTAAATAATTAATTAGGAGAATGTATATTTGTAGTTGTAAAGCAATTTAAAGTTTCTTTTTCGGGTCAAACCGGGCTAGTTTATAGGGACCCCTAGGCAATATTTCCCAAATTTAAGGACTTATGTTTAATTTATGCAACAAAGACTTGAGCTTTTTTATTTATTTATTAATAGTTTATTTTAATTGTTTAATGAATGAAAACCATTCAAAGATTCTAGACCTTTGTTTGGGTCGACCCGCAATGCACGGATCTCCTCGTCACCTCGGGTTTGGGCAAACACCAAGTGGAAGTGTATATTTTACCAATGTTTGAACAACTTTAGACCTCTTTTCAAATTATAGTAAATTACTAGTTTCTTGAGGTTTATTTAAAAAATTAGGGGCCTAACAATAAATGTATTATAAATGTGTTTGAATAAAGGGATTATTTTATAAAGTTTATAAAATTGGGACCCTATAAATTTACAACATTTTAATGGCTCTAGGTAGGTGATCACGTCCTTCAAAAGTAGTCTTGCAATGCATTCAACAATATTACAAAAAATACTCTTGCAATGACTTTTAAAGATTATTTTCGCATATTATTTGTTGCTTTGAATGACTTTTACCCTTTTTTTTTTTCAAATTATATGTCGTTTTAGAATTTCAATAAAAAAATATTTGTAATTTTAATTTAACATTTATCGCTTTTAATTACTCCATATGTCCCAGAATAACAGTCGCTTTTGAAAAATGGAGAAATATGCAATACCCCCTCAAATGGAAAATATTTTGAACTAAACTCAATTGACGATTATAGACTTTTGCCTACACCCAAGTTTCATTCTTAATTAGTGAGACCCCCTAACTAGACATGATAAGATTAAAGTGGCCTTATGTGATTAGGTTTTTACCGTAATGTAATGTATCTCACTATTTCA